CCCCCCCCCCCCCCCCCCCCCCCCCAATCTCTCTCTGTGTAACAGTAGATGGAGTTATTAGTCAGACAGTGGGGATGACTGAACAGGTGTTTTCCAAATGGGCCTTTTGAGCATTCACTGCATCATCATCGCCCCACAGGGGGGGTGTTTTTGTGTGCGTACGAGAGCTTGGCCTCTGCGTGCCCTTTTCTCCTCAGGCTGAGCCATTTGCCAGTAAAGGGAGGGTGGGTGTTCGACGGGGTGAGGCATGTTACCGTATTCATGTGTGGTACGTGCACGTGTATATGCATATGCGGATCCATAACATATGTAGGTGTGAAGAAGTGGTATATCTGTACCAGCTGCTGCTTGTCATTACTCATTGACGCACAACAGCAGGGGCAGAGTGGCCTTGGCCTGGCCACTTTCCACCGCTCCACAGAAAAGACGAGCGCTGACATATTTAGGAGTCAGAGAAATGTTCCTGTCGCCACACTTTTTGCCCCTTTGACCTTATTCTGTGAACCCCCCCCCCCCCCCCACACTCGATACATTTCACATGCCCAATTTCCCTCTTTCTCCTCCGTCTTTGTCTCCTCTACCTTCTGTTTCTGCTGCAGGCTTTAAGGTTTCACTTCATTTAATGTTCAGAGGCTGTTTGGATGTAGACCAGGTTTGGGTGTAGACAAGTTTTGGGTGTATCCCACTCTGTTAAAAAGTGCACTTTTCAGGCAGACAGAGATGAAGACATACGCAGAGCGAAAATAAACAGATACACTGGAAAAATGTTACATATTCATGGTTAAAAGTTCAGATTAGTGCGGCCGAATTCTCACCTTCACCTGTCTTGTTTTTCCATCAGCTGTACAGCGAGGACGCACATCGAACTCCCAGAGCAGCCCAGGACAGTACCTGACCAACGGCACCGATCCGTACAACGGCCAGCCCTACCTATCCGGCTTCATTTCTCTGTTGCTGCGCGCCGAGCCCTACCCCACATCTCGCTACGGGGCCCAGTGCATGCAGGGAAACAACCTGATGGGCATTGAGAACATCTGCGAGCTGGCGGCCAGGCTGCTCTTCAGTGCTGTTGAGTGGGCCAAGAACATCCCTTTCTTCCCCGATCTGCAGCTCATGGACCAGGTAAGCCTGCCGCTTTGAAGACAATTAATTTAAATTTAAATAATCAACTCCAAAGGTTAAGTTTGATATTTTGGGCTTATGCCAAGAGTTAGATGAGAAGATGGAAACCACTCTTGTGTCTGTATAGTAGATACAATGCTACGGCCAGCAGCACGTTAGCCTAGCTTAGCATAAATACTGGAAACAGCTGGCCTGGCTCACCAGCACCTTTAAAGCTATAAACTGTCATGTTACATCTCATTTATTGGATACGTACAAAAACCAGCGTGTAAAACATGTGTCCCAAGGACGTTACTGTACCTGGCCTCATCAAAGTAAGAGCCAGGCTATGGTTCCAGTCTTTGTGCTAAGCTAAGATAATTAGCCTAGCACAAAGACGGGAATTTGCTTTCTTACAGAGAATTAGATGATAAAATGAGAACCACATTCGCTCTAAATATCAAGCTAGAGCTAATGCTTAGTTGCCTGTAGCTTCATATTTAGTGTAAATGAGTGTGGTTATCATTTTAGCATCTAATTCTCTTTTAAGAAAGAGAATGTGCATTTCATGTGAAATTGGCTTTTCAATAAAGCATGCAAGAGGAACATACATAAGGGATTGGCTTTTAGCCTCCGAATGTAAAAACTTAGCATCAGGATGTTCATATTGTATATGATATACAGTATATAAAATACTACACCCAAAACTTTGCAACATGTTAACATTTTTCACATCACATTTCTTCAGTTCATGTTTGCTTTTAAAGAAATGTTGAGCTCGTAAAATAACACAATTCAATTCTTCTCTCGTTCAACTTCATCAAAACCAAAAGAAAGCTGTTATCCAATGGAAGACCACAGTTACATGAAGTGTGATTAATAAACGGTTTCTTTATGACATCTCGCCCCGCTCATTACAAATAATTGAGCTTCTAAATATTTGTTTTCCTTTTCATTATTTGAGAATCATCATCACTCATGGGCATATAAAAAGAAAGTCTGTTGTGTTATTATTCGCTGAAGGGAGAAAGCGGCACAACAAACCCAATGTCAATGCTGCACATTTAGATTTATACCAGCTGTAAAGTCTTGGCACGGAGGAATCGCCTGACCTATAAATATTCACATGCACCTTGGGCCGACATATCACAGATATGTCATGCTGTAGCTGCACCATATCATTAATTTACCATTAACGTCACGTCAAGATGTCCCGTATCTCACAGTGAGTGCTTTAGAAATGTGCCACCAGTTTTATGCTTTCTATAAACCCGCTTTGTTGAATTATTTTCAACCTGCTATCAAAACACTCTGTTTACACCAACTTAACTTCAGTGCATCCACATTTTAAACTGTGTGTCTAGATTACCCAGGGTAGACAAAATAATGTAAACACCTATAAATGGAGAACATGTGCTATTATTTTAAATGCTGCTACACAAGGGAGTCATATGTGGTTGGATTCCCATTGCAGGCTGTGTCAACCACCTGTATACACATCCTTCATCTTGTGACTGCTCCTCCTCATATATAAAAAATCATGATTTTTTTTTAAGCAATTGTGCTTGTCAAAACCTTTAAATAATCAAATAATTGCACGAATGACTTGCACTTTGGAGGGGTGCCATTTTCCGTTGTGATCAAGCGCAAGTTTTTGTTAACCCAAACTATATATTAAAATCACAATGTTGCCATATTATATATTCTTCTTCGTGCCATCGTACACCTCCTCTTGTAATATTTATGAATTTTAACACTGACAATAACTGTTTTGTCACATTAATTCATCCTTACAATCAGTTTATAAAAGGTGCTCTCTGTTAGCTTTGTGCCATGAGCCTGGTTTTGTGTGTGTGCTTCCTTCTTCCTTCAATGAATGAATATATTACTTGTTGGGAAAAAAATATGTGAATGAATGGCGCTCCTGTCCTGTATCTCGTCTGCATTTAGTCTCTTATAATGTGACCAAATTCTAACCATCTCCAAAGGATTGTTAGCTGTTTCTTGCATCCTGTGACACTTGCAATGAATGTGTATTTGTGCTATTGAAACACAGATCACAGATTGACTCATGTTCATGCTTGGTGGGGATGAGCTGTGTGTGCAAACCTTCTCAAACATGATGTAACATTTTTAAACATCATTCCTGTTACACACATTTTAATTGATTCAACCCTGTGAACATGCCTTTAGAATTTTGAATACATTCCTACATTTTATGTTTATGATTAAAAAATAGACATATTGTAGAAATCTCAAATCCAGATGTGTCGACCACATGATTTAAATCTGATGTTATGTTTTTGTTGAGACATCCTGCTGAGTGAAAGAAGCTTCCTCCCTGTAATAACCACTTTACGCGACCTGTTTTCCTAGGTGGCGCTGTTGCGCATGTCATGGAGCGAGCTCTTCGTGCTCAACGCCGCCCAGTGCTCCATGCCGCTCCATGTGGCCCCTCTGTTGGCAGCTGCAGGCCTGCACGCATCGCCCATGTCAGCGGAGCGCGTGGTGGCCTTCATGGACCACATCCGTGTCTTCCAAGAGCAGGTGGAGAAGCTGAAGGCCCTGCAGGTCGACACGGCAGAGTATTCCTGCCTCAAGTCCATCGTGCTCTTCACGTCTGGTGAGTTTGAATAAAGCACATGTGTCATATAAAGAGTTGAGAGTCACTGCGTTAAATGTCAATGGTGTCACGTAACGTTAAAACAGGATGTCGAAGCAGGATTTAACTCGTGGTGGATGGCTCCAGACTCTTTAATGGAAAGTTTATAAGTAATTAGAAATCCATACCCCAAAAATGTCAAATATATGGTATTACTGCTCTCTAAGCTCTCTAAGAAAACAAATCGGAAAGAAAAAGAAATAGGAGAAACCTCAGGAGAGGAAATTTAAAGAGCAATCCTGCCAGACGATTGGAAAAGATACTTAGAAGATATATAAACAATTATATTTATGTAAAGTTGAAACAGTTCATAACAAAATAAAGTTTAACAGTAGCTTTAAGTTGAATGTTGTTGTAATAAATCAAATATAGGTCCAAAAGAATTATTTGAGACTAACATTTTCAATAGGAAACAGTCCTTTCACTTGATCTTCATCCTCTACTCAAACTCGGACTCGGAGAGGACTGTGGGTAGATTCTGATGTCAACAAAAACATCACCTCTCTCCTGAGAGTAACTTTACTATTGCTCCGGCAGAACGGGAAGAATTAGCAGGCCGGGTGAGCTGACTTCTTTTTGGCACGGGAACATTCTCTTAATTGGTTTATTCATGTCGACAGGGACACTTAATCGCAGGGTATCAAAGCACATGTAAACAGCTCAACCTGAATTTAAGAAATAGGAGGGTTGTTTTCAGTGGCGGGCCGTCAGGGCCTGCAAGGCCTTCTCTGCTGGCCTAAACAGAATCACAAAGCTATATACATGTAAAAAAAAAAAAAAAAATCTATTTTAGAATTTAATAATTTTTCTTAAATACACTACATGTATTATAATTTATAAAAATATTTTCTCATTGCACAGCTACTGTCTTTCTCAGTTGCTCTGCTTCCTCTGTGTCTCTAGGTAAGAAGACAGGCCCGGGGCCTTCAGACTCACAAGTGAATCCCTTTGCAGTTTAAGTGAATGGGCACGATATTGTTGATTGTCATAGTGTTCAACCAATCAGATCTTTAGTTTGACATGTTGGGCGTATTCTTTGACTATCAGAGCCTGCGCGCCGGCCTATAATGACCAGCATTACATGCCGCCAGTGTCCCGTGTGTAGCTTTCCCGCGAGGTACAGAGTGTGCTGTGATTGGTCAGTGGGCGAGCACGTGACTATCGTGAAACGAAACTTAACAGCCAGCAGAGGCTGATGGGTAGTGAATCACATCACGTGATGCAGCTCAGCCAATCAAAATGCATTCTGACTGAGTGAGATGCACCATGATAGACGAACCTGAGCCGAGGAAAGACACTGCAGTATGTTCAACGATCAAGTTGTGAAAGTAAAATCCGATGTTAATCTCTTTGGGTCGTGGCTTTTCATTAAGGAATGACAGTGGATCCCACAGCCAGACCAGCTAAGATCATTATGTTTTCCTGAATTTAGGCTTTTGCATTTTCTAAATGCTCTAGCATTATTCAAACGACTCGTACACAACAGTTTAATATGAAGATGTACATAGTTACAGCATTAAAAATGAATAATAGCAGTGGTGCCATCATGTGGTTATAAGGTGGTATTTCAGCTGCAGGACAGCAGTGAAGGCCCAGGTATAAAATGCACGGCCCGCCACTGGTTGTTTTGTGCATTTAAACATTGCCAAGTAAACTCCAGCAAATAGTAAAACTGTTTATTTATCAGGGCAAGATACAACCAATGAATTAGATCATGAATGTAAAAAAATATGTATTAAAAATATATTATCGGTATAGAAATTAAAACAGAACTTTAAATTATTGCCTTATATTGCTGATGTCTGCTTAAGAGCTCAAGTCATTTTTACGTAAAGTCTGAACTGGATGCCATCAGATAAATGCAACGGCTGCAGCAGCAGGAGGTGAAATGTGCACAGGAAGAAATTAAATGTGCATCTTGTGGTGCCTTGTTAGGAGCAATGTAATCAATCTCTTCATAATTATCTCCTTTGCACAAAAAAATGAATAAAATTACTTTAGTCATTTCATGTTGTCGAGGACATACTTCTCATGTATCGATTGAAAATGCCCGCAGTGTATGAATATCCAGCAAAATGCTTAACATACAGCATGCGTCATTCTAGGCCTGTGTACTGTTGCACAGTATAAAAGAAAAGAAGAAGAAGAAGAAGAAGAGGATGCGAGCATCTCTTCCACTGAAAATGGTCGAAAATAACGGCTTTAATGCCAAAAAGTTTAGAATCTATCAGTGAGCATTTACATAACTGACACCTATGTCTGCAAGACAGGAAGCCACTTAACACATAGAAGAAGCAATGTTACCCATTATGTCTAAAAAGCTAGATAATTAACAGCATTGTTTACTCAATAAGAAGAGATGCTTCAAGCATTCATTTGTATGTTATGAAAGGGGGCGACGACTGCGAGACACACTGACCAAGAGAGAACCAAAGTCCGGTCCAAGATTGTGAATTTGGACCATTACTTTGATGATTTAATCGTAAAATTAGAAGTTCTTAGTGGCAAGAAACATCTCTTCCCTCTGCTGTGTTGAAATCCAGTTTGAGCTCACAGACAGACTCACGAGGCCGACTTCAACTGTGCTTAACCCGCAACCTCTTCACCTCCGCCGAGGCTGGCCGAGACGTGACCTCTAATGCTGCAGCAGATATTGTCTCGTTGGCTCCATATGCAAATGCTTCTGCTACAGTCCTCCCACTAGTCAGTCATGGTCTCTGCCCTCCATGAATTTCACTGTAATTTGATCGCTCTTTAATACTGTAAAAGACCGCTATTCTCCCTCACGTGTGCCTCACTTAAATCACTTCTCTTTTTTTTAGCTGGGGTTAACCGTAAGATTTTACCTGAATCTTTGACGTCAGTATTTAGATTTAGATTTAGATTTCTGCCCGTGTAATACATTTCACATTTTGTTGGAAAGACGTATAGACAAGTGGTCAATTACTTATTCGTTGACATTGCACCAAAAGAAAGTTTAGATAGAGACAGATCAATTATATATACACACATGCTAATCTTTTGGTAACTTCTTACCTGCATGAAACAACTCTCAGTTGGACGTACTGACAAAGAAAGTACCTTTCTGCAAGCACAGATTTGTCTATTTATAGCTGTTTGCATCCAAAGCTCTTAACCCCCCCAATAAAAAACAGGACTTGAGCTTCACACCCTCCTCCCTGTGTTGAATTATGTTCTCCCCACTGAGCTGCAGACACGATTAAATCAAAATACAATGGTGTTACATCTTGAGGAAACCCATGAGATGGCATTGTTTTGATACTGCTTGTATACAAACACCGTTGACGTTTATCCCAACAGTCACTGGGCTCCAGTGCCAGACAAAATACTGTCACATCTGGGATACTTCACGGAGAGATCATGCTTTGTGACCCAGGGGGAAACGGAAGGTGAAGAAGCCAACACTGAGATGTGTCTCGTCCCTGTTGATTTTTTTTTTGCATTTATTGCATTTTCCCTATTTTCTCCCTTGCGTGGCTTGTCGGATGCACTCTGTGTGTACCTAGCGCCTCTCTGCCATGTATGTATGCGTCTGTAGATCCACCTCTCCCCTGCTCTCATCAGCCATCTCTCCTCCTTGATCGCATCTATTATTGAAACCAGTCATCCACCCCTCCTCCCTGTACGCTCCCCAACCCCAAGCCCAGCACAGGCCCCGGGACCCCTGCCCCCACCACGGGAGTTGAATTATGTATGGTGGGTTTCAGTGAGACGGAGAATTCGCAACAGCCCCGGCCATGACCTACATAACCCCTGTAGCCCTGAGCATCCCATGTGACTTCCCCGCATGCGGGCAGATGTACCCACATGTATACACGTCGTAAAAACTGCAGATGTCTTGCAAAGAAGACAATGCATTTAGTGAAACGTGCAGATACTAACACAGAAATTTGAATTTAATGGAGACAGACATGCTCGCACGCGCACTCTAGACAGACCCGTTAATAAACCTGACTCCTGCAGACTTGGTAGGATGAGCTAACAAGCTTAGACAAACACCAATCGTCTTTCACCTCCCTCCGAGTCCCCTCCCTCCGCTCCTCCTGTGAAGCCTAGTCCCATCAAGCCACATCAGTGAGCGGGCATCTCAGCGCTGCCACCCTGATCCTTCACCCCCACTGACCCTGTGTGTGCCCAAGGATCAGACAAAAGAACACGCCGTTTGGCATGTAAGGGCACCCACAGAGCTGTCGCTTCGGCACGCGATGTGGTTTCAGTCCCACAGACAGCTTTACTAATCCCAACCAGGCAGGGACTGCCTTGTCACGCAGGACCCAAAATGGCGGCCCGAAAAAAGAAAGCAGTCCAGCTGCCCCCTGAGTGGAAGGGAAATACAGCTGAGGTGGGAGCAATTATTCACTCAGAATGATGAGAATAGTGGCCGCTGAGGGTGGGGAGGGGTGGACACACTCGATTAAAATATGATGTAAATTACGTTTTTTTTGTTGTAGTGGCGCTGAGGCCCAGCAGGGTTTACACAGGGGACAGATCAAAGTGTGAGATGACAAAGGGGACCAACGATGCAAGGTGACAGGTTAAAACCTACGGGCCAGCGCTTTTAGACCAAAAGAACGCGCTTGAGAAGAAATTGCCCTCATCAAAAAACCTGTCTTCCAAACGAGGGTTCATTCAGGGGGCAGAGTCACAGAGCGCTCCCACTCAATGTACAGTATGTGGCACAGTACAGTGAATTGTGTCTTTGTTTTGAGTTCACACATCTCTGAGCCCCTTTGCTAAATCCCCCGTGCTCACCCCGGCACACAGAGGGTGTGAAAAGTATCGCGCACAGTGTTACGCACTCTTATCGGCTGTGCGAGACTCTTGCCGAGGGCGGGGGGCCGGCGGGAGGGGAGGTGTGAGGAGGCGGGAGGCAGAACACGACCTCCGGCTGCGGGGAAAGGGAACGCTGTAGTGTGCTGTGAACCACAGGGGTAGTAGTAGATACGCATCTCTGCAGTGACAACCTTGATTTCATCAACTTTGAGCAAGATTCCTCGGACTTGAGGAATTTGAAATACAAATAAAGCAACTGTCAGCACTTCATTACATTTTATTACCCTTGAGCCACTTATCACAAGTTCAATTTTTGCAAAATCTAAACATCAGTTATCAGACTACACAATGTTGATTTGATGAAAGGTCATTGAGAAAAAAAAAGACATTTGTCATGTGTCCCATCTAGTGTTTCATTGCTAATAATTTGTACTTTCTTGCATGGTGACACTGTAATAAGGATTCTGCTTGACAAACCATGAATCTCTCTTCCTTCCCTGCAGATGCTATGGGGCTATCAGACGTCGCCCACGTGGAGAGCATCCAGGAGAAGTCCCAGTGCGCCCTGGAGGAGTATGTAAGGAACCAGTACCCCAGCCAGCCAAACCGCTTCGGACGCCTCCTCCTCCGCCTGCCCTCCCTGCGCATCGTCTCCTCTCCGGTCATCGAGCAACTGTTTTTCGTCCGCCTGGTAGGCAAGACGCCCATCGAGACGCTGCTCCGCGACATGCTGCTCTCGGGTTCCAGCTACAACTGGCCCTACATGCCCACCGTGCAGCGCGACCGGCCCATCTCCCTCCACTACAACGAGAACGGGCCCTGAGGTGGAGAGGCAGACGAGACAGAGGAGGAGGAGCTGTGGATGAAATGCAGGCTTGAACGTCCATCTGACTTCTCACCCATCCACCCAGCCATCCATCCATCCTTCATTCATTTCAACGTCTCCCTCACCATTCCGCTCAAAAAACCCAAACTGACAATGTAATCCATTACCGTCCCGGTTACACAAGCCAGCCAATCATTCACCGTGGGCCATTGCAGAGACTCGGTGGCTCGTAGCATCCCGTCAGCCGACGGTGCAGTCTACCTTTTGAGATGTGGCGCGAGATGGACAAGTTGGTAGAACAAGTTATTGCGCAGTTCACCAGCAGGTCTGTTGGACTCACTTCAGATGTCAGTCTCAAACCCCATGAAAACAGATGCAGAAAAAAGACAAAACAGTTGGTTTATTGTTGGTGCTAGCCTACATTTATAGAGGCTGTGTACGAGCATCTCAGTAGGACGGATACTAAGCAAGGGCTTTGCCAATGGGACTCTAAAACCAAGAGCACAAGGCCCACTGTATAATATACCAATTTTTTGAAAAGAAAGCCTGAAGCCATTAAAAGAAGACAAATGCCAAAATGTCTTGGACTTTTGCAGAGGATATGTTTTAATGTGCGTGTGTTTGTATTAGCACTGTTTATATGGAGAGAAAACCCATGATTGTGTCCATATGTACAGTATATTGTTGATTCATAGGCATCTATAGCATAGTAGGGTTCAATGGGAAAAGCTCAGGTTCAAAGGGGGAGGTAGCCAGACAGACATGCCAATATCAGAACAAGAACAAAATACCAGTACAAATTTAAAGCAGCCTGTGCCAAAGCTGAAAAATGCAAATTGTTTGGATATGTTTGTGGTAGTGTTGGTGATGAACATTTTGTGTCTCTAATTTGACTATATACTTGTTTTGGGGTCTCAGGGGCAGAGAAGGCAAAAACAAACCAGCCTAGGCACTTGCATTGTGAACTAGTCAGAACCTACACTTATTCACTCCTGAGAAATCACAGCACTGGTAGATTCTCGCTGCCCTTATGTCATTTGATCGATCTACCTTTTCACTTATTCAAAAGGCCCATTGAAACTTCTTACATGCTGTTTTCACAGGAGTAACACAACACATGCTCATTTTTGTTTTATTGTCTTGATTGTCAATATTGGACCTTATGAATTGGGGGGGAGGGGGAGGGGGAGCATTTTACAAAACTAGCTGTACTTGCCTTAGAACAAAGATTTTGTCACTGAGCATTTATCTTATGACTGTGCCATAATCTCTCGTTACCTGTTATAACAGGTATTATGTCCTGTCAGGAGAGGAAATTGAACTCACGCGATGTAAAAATGATTAATGTGCACATAAAGTCATAGAAAAGTGATGCAAACTATGGAGATTTTTTTAATCCATCAATAGAGAGAACAGATATTTCTGCTTTAACATCATCAGCACTTTCGTTTTTTTTAGACTTCATGCGAGTTCTTTTCCACTTCCTGATGATATTGTCATGTAGGGAAAACCCCCTCGACTCATGTCCTTTGAGCTTATCGTACCGATATCCGAGCGAAAAGTATCACTAACCTCTGAAAACCTCAGTCTCTGTTACAATACTATCCCAGACTTATGACTGTGACTTAGTTTAGGACTATTTTAAGTTGTTGTTGTTTTTTTTCTTCTTCCCCTTGGTGGAAGTTTGTTTTGACAACCTGTCTCACATTTCCAACATGGCACTGTGGTATCAACTTTGGCATTGGAAAAGCCATCTGGGACCTTAGAAAGCTGTCTGTTGATAAATGAATTCACAGAAAGCTCCTATGAGTTTTGTTTTTATCCCCTCTTCTTTTGTTTGGAAATATGGATTATCCATTAATTGAAATAAAATTCTGTTCACAGTAAGTTTTCTGCTGTCTTTTACTGTCATTTATAATTACACCCCAAAATAGCATCAATGTGTTCAAAGCAGAGCACACAAAACGTGTTCTTTACTCTGGTCTGTGATTTGATGTTTGTTGATGAAATATGCCTTGGAAGTCGTATCTTCTCCCCAAAGTTTTTCTGTACACGTGTTTGACTTGTAATCAAACAACCATATATTTTTATGATCTTCTAATGTAGCCTACTGATAATTCAAACGTTTCATGCCCACCTTAACCGTGGAAGTTCTCCAACTGTGTGTCAGGTCACATTGTCTTTGGGAAAAGAGCTCTGCAGCGCTTCATGTCTCAGCTGTATGTTGAGTGTGAACAGTACAAAAATATACACAACAATGCAAAAAAGTTAAGAATTTGGTTAAGATTTGCATTATTGTACTCAACATAAATTGAAAAATAAGTTACAAGGTTCATTTTATTTGTCATCTCTCAACACAGGCTCGCACAATGAAGTGTAAGTTGTAGGTTAGCCCATTTACGCGAGACATAAATAAAATATGAATCTAATATTTTAAATTACAATATAATGAAATGAAATATAACAAAATATGTACAGTTACTTACATACAGTAGGCTACATACACCCAGAGAGACTTTAGTTCGTAGTGGGAATAAGGGTAGAAGGTTGGAATAAGTGATGTCAGGCACCACCCGGCTGGCACCTTAAGTGACCCAAATCAAACACACCTAAGATGTTGCGCAAGAACAGGTACATGCCGGGTGTAGCTACTAAGCTAACATGCTGGATTCCCTCAGTGTTCTTCACTTTTAAACGTTTTGAATTTGAGGTGCGCGGTGGGACAGAGAGGCTGAGTGGACTGGTGACTAAATAATGTTTTAAGAATGAAGGAGCAGAGAAGTTTCACTGGAGCAGATTGAGGAGGACCTGGCGGTGCACAGGCCTCACAGAATGACGTTCAGACAGGTGAGTACAACAACAAACAGAAGAGTGACCCACTGTAGTTCACAGATGGAGGACGTCACAACACGCTGCGTAAAGACGTGACGTTATGTGTGCGTGTTGAGCTTAATCTGTGCAGGCTCTAATTGTTTTAATGTGTGTGTTTGTGGGCTGTAGATGCTGAAGAGTTCATATTGTCTTTACATGTTTTTCATTTCTTGTAATTTCTTCTCGGACTGTACAGCAGTTTTTTTTTCTTTTTAATATCCAGTAAGTTTATATAATTGATAATCGGGTGTATCACAGGCTGCAATTACCCCAAGAAAATGAATGTATTGTTGGACTGGCTAAATTTAAGCTTATTTCAACATCTACTAAAGCTTCAAGTTTAAGTTACTAGTTAGCCTATAGATTATTTAAACAAAAAAAATAAATCAACAAATACATGATTATGTACCTTATTAAAGGTTAAGTCATGCAACAGTATATTAAGTGGTAACTCCATCTTTTTCAGCTTCAGCATTAAAGTGATGCACATTAATGCATAAAAAAATAATGTAACATATTATTCTTAAATGGGCCATTCTGCATGTTCTGTGTTGTATTATTCGACTATTATAATTCTTTGTCATTTCCGCTTTTATTGGTCAGTTGACTGTTTAGAGGCAGAGAGGAAATGAGTAGAGAGAAAGATGGGAATGACATGCACCAAAGGCCATTTGAACCTTGGTCAATGCCCCAACCATATTAATGTACTTTCAAACAGTGAGTGATGTTCTGTGATATGTTTGTTGCTGGTGAAGAAGTCCATAGTTCAGGGATTCTGGATACACGTAGAATAACTTCCTTTGTCGTTTCCCTCGCTTAGGTTTCTGTGGTTGCTGTGATCACACACAGAGCTGCGGCGGCTAGATGAAAACCATCATAAACTCTGAATGCCGCCGACCTCGGGGTAACACAATTACTACAAATACATCTTTATCTTTTAAGTTGCACTTTTAAAACCTTGCCTCTTGTTCAGTGCAGTGTTCCTCTGGTTCTGATCTATCCATCATTGCAGGGTATTTTCAGATTTCCTCCACTGATGCAGATAACGCACAGATCATCAAGGATAAATAATTCTGGTATTTCTTTGTTCAAAGAGCACTTTGATTCAATGAGGGAAACAGACACATGTGACAATCAATGCCGTGGATCAATCAATGATTGTAGACCAAGTGGGGGTCGCCCCGCACTCACGCTGGGATGCAACCCAAATGTTGATACAGACCTGCTTGGTGCGTGACAGAAAGTAAGCAAACACCACGACCCATTGTATGTGTGTGTGGGTGTGTGTGGGGGTGTGTGTGGGGGGGGGAGACATGGAGAGAGAAAGAACACACATGGTCTTTGACCTTTGGGTTCAAGGTGTGTGTGTGTGTGTGTGTGTGTGTGTGTGTGTGTGTGTGTGTGTGTGTGTGTGTGTGTGTGTGTGTGTGTTCAAGTTTGGGTAAATATAGCTGCTGGTTGCTCTCAGTTATAACAGTTAGACCGAGTCCAAAAAGAAAGACAAGGACATAGACAAGTACAGGTTTGTGCGTTTTGACTCTCAGACTCATAATGCCATGTAACCTCCTTCTTACCACACACACACACACACACACACACACACACATACAGGAAGGCGGGATAGCGGTGGGCGGGTAGGATGGAGTGTGGGGATTGAGGGATTGGGGGAGGTAGTTGGAGGAGGGGAGGGTTGGGTGTAAGGGGCACAAGGTTACCATGTGTGGGGAGTGTGTGTGTGTGTGTGTGTGTGTGTGTTCAAGTTTGGGTAAATATAGCTGCTGGTTGCTCTCAGTTATAACAGTTAGACCGAGTCCAAAAAGAAAGACAAGGACATAGACAAGTACAGGTTTGTGCGTTTTGACTCTCAGACTCATAATGCCATGTAACCTCCTTCTTACCACACACACACACACACACACACACACACACTCCCCACACATGGTAACCTTGTGCCCCTTACACCCAACCCTCCCCTCCTCCAACTACCTCCCCCAATCCCTCAATCCCCACACTCCATCCTACCCGCCCACCGCTATCCCGCCTTCCTGTATGTGTGTGTGTGTGTGTGTGTGTGTGTGTGTGTGTGTGTGTGTGAGTGTGTATGAAGAGTAGCCGATTGACTTATGCCTTCATTTCGGAGCTGTCACTCCTGGCCAAACACCATGACCCCATAACCTCCATTTTGGAGGCGCACTTCTTTTTTTTCTTTTTTTTCTTCAGCATATGAATAAAAACACATGTGGCCCAAAGGTGTGTGTGTGTGCGTGTGTGTGTGTGTGTGTGTGTGTGTGTGTGTGTGTGTGTGTGTGTGTGTGTGTGCATGTTTATGTGTACAGGTAAATCAAACTGACACAGCTCCTTTGAATGGCAGGAGCTGAATTACTTTTGCACTTCAATTTTGCACACCTGCCATTTATGGCAAACACTGGTCTCAGCATAAACCATAAAAGCAAAAAATATGTTTCTTCAAGATCAGATCAGCGGCAGTGAATATCAGAGCCAGGTGCGGCAATTGCAATTTATTTCTTTGTGGGTAAATTACTTTGCATATATTACAGATTTTACTACATTTTACACTAACATTTCGTCCAGATTTCTTGGTTTGTTGGAACAACTTGAATATTTTGAATACTAAAAAACTGTGGACGATGAAAACCAGGTGAACATTGTTCTTTAATGATATCATTTGCATGTTAAGCTCATTAAATGATTCTTTTACCTTAAACATTTCTTGTTTTTTAAAAGTATTCAGAGGGACTCTGGCGTAATCCGCTCTCCCGATACTGTCTATCTGTGGAAACATATTCTCAGTAATAAAAGTTAGTAATATGTAATGTGATGATGATCAGCGGCATCTTGCACCAGTAAAAGTAAAACCCCCAAAACTATGAGCTTTAAGTACCCTCAAAGATACTTTCAAAAACAATACACAAAATGTATGCTACCGATCAAGCGTAGTTGTCATAATTGTTTCTAAATGGATGACGCATTTTGACGTGAGGGTCATTGAGGTTGCAGCGCAGCGCTATGATGCACACATTTACACATGCAGGACAGAAACAATGTGTCCCTCTGAGCCGTCTGTAGGTAGGCGACCATACCAATCAGGTCCCAGCCAGAGGTCGACATGACAAACACAATAAGGCAGCAGATTCATCACCCCGTGTGCTCTGACAGTAATTGTCCTGGGTCCATGTCACAGTCCCCCTGTTAAAAATACAAGGGATGCTCCTTTGGCAGAGATGACATCGGCGCCAGTCACATGCGTTTAAGCCAGACACCTCCTTTATTTGTTATGACACACTTTCAATTTCACAAAAAGGGCCCCACAGAAGATGAACAGTGCCCTACGTGGGATGAGGAAGGCCTGTGAAAGCAGCTGGCCGTGTGTGTGATTTAGACTTGGGCCGAGGAGGCGAGACATGTGGATTTTGTTTAATAAAAAGGCATGTTTTGTCTTGTTGCTAAATGGGAATGTTAGCAGTACAGGGGCAAGCTAGACGTCCATCTCTGGGGGATACGGCAGCCCAGATCGATAGGTGGGATGTCAGATTGAATTGAGGTCACTCTTTGTCTCCCCAAAGAGGTCCCACTTACTGGCACACCATCAAAATGCAGCGGGGTATTAAGTGAAAGGGACGGTGTGGAGGGGCAGGAGGCCGGGGACAGTTGTACCGGTGACCCTTGTCTTGTCAGAGCAGCGCGGCTTTCTGTTCTGCAGCGTGTTTATTCTGAGTCGTCCTGAGAGACGGTGTACGCTTGACACTGACGCTGGTCTTTGACGGATCAATAACCTTGATGAGATGTGATGAGACTGTTGTTGCTTAATTCTATCTAAATGTTAAACAGACTGACAATAGAGTCTTTCTGCTCAGCTGAACAAACAAAAATGCACATCTGTGAGAGTGAATACGGTGAAATCACTGCAGTCTGGAGCTTTGAAGATGAATCAATGCTCTTCAGAAACTGCATTGATCATTGTTTTTATTAATTTATCAAGTATAAAGATTTAAGTA